ATATATATATATATATATATATATATATAGTTTGTTTCAAATACAACTCATCACATTTGTACAATCAATGCAACCCAATAAATTGAGATATTTATGGAAATGATGAGAGTTCATTTATTATGATTTAAATATTTATGAAAAATGAATATGATTCATTAATTATGATCAATACTTTATATTAGGAAATAATCAAAACTTCTATAAAATCACATATTAATCAAATGAAATGGACGGTTGAGATTGAGTTGTATTGGTTGCACAAATGTCAATGGTTGTATAATAACCAACCTCTCTCTCTCTCTCTCTCTCTCTCTATATATATATATATATATAAATAAACAAAAATATATATTAGCAACGATATATATATATATATATATATATATATATATATATATAAAAAAAAATATATATAAGTTACAATATATATATATATATATATATATATATATAAATAAACAAAAATATATATTAGCAACGATATATATATATATATATATATATATATAAATAAACAAAAATATATATTAGCAACGAGTTGACAGGTTAGGTTATGTTGATTTACATCAAACCCAATTTCAACTCTATTAATTAACTGTTTAACAGTTTGACGAGTTGTTAAATTATCTGCAATTGAATTTGTTTGCAGTTGAATATGTTGTTAGGTTTTTATGCAACCTAATTATTGTTGTATCTATAAATCACAAACTCTTCTTTTGTTTTCGTATCAATTTCTTCACCAAAACTTAAAAAGGAAGAATAAAAATGAGATACAAGAAACATGCTAAAATGTTTCAAAGGTTGCTCCTTTGACTTTGGAGACATGTGGATAAGGTTTGAAACAATTTGTCTTGACTATGGATTTATATCCTTCAAATTCTATGAATTCCAATCCATTGTATATTTAGACTAAATATTCCTTTTAGAGTAAATTACGATTTTAGTCCTTATGATTTGTATTAATTACAGTTTTCTGTCTTTGTGGTTTAAAATTTGTAATTATGATTTATAGTTTATTACTATTTTCATCCTTATAATTTATTATTGGTTTGGTTTATGTAGTTTATAATTCTTTGTTTTTTTGGTCCCTTATACTTAAAAGGGAGGAGTTAGGTTCAGGGAAGGAAATAACAAAGATTTACAAACCATAGAGACGTAAATTGTAATTTTTAAAATATAAAGACGAAAATCGTAATTTTTAACAGACCACGAGGACCAAAAACGTAAGTTACTCTATTTTTTTTTCTTATTATATTTATTGAATAAAAGACTTATTATAGTTATCTATATTTTATAAATGATAATATTTTATGTGATTTTTATTAATTAGGTAGAACAAAAATGCCGGCCATAAAAAATGTTGATGATGAAAACTAGTAATGTTGTATTTAATTGAACAGATCATTTTTTTAAATGAAGGGATTGTGACGTTACTTATTGATGTTTGAATGTGTATATTAATAATGAGTTTGCTGATGACTTGTTCAAAAAGATATTGAAACATGTTTGCCGTCCGAGAAAAAGTTTGTACATAACCATGTAGGCAAGCTACACAATCTTTTTATATGCACAACAGAAATTCCTTTGTTAAGATATGGATGCTGCATATCACCTATGTAACTTAAAGGGTAAACGAAAGTATATACTCATTCATGGAATAAAGTTGTCTGATCAAAAGACACAATCCAACCATATTGGTATTTTTTATATACGACTTTAATTTAACAGTATATTATCTGCAAATGTCAAAATGATTGTATTCATGTTATTAGTGAAGTGATGATGTGGAACTAATAACATTTACAGATATACAATAGACATTACTCTTAGTCTGGAATCGAACAACATTTGCAACTTTTTTTAAACCATAGATGTTTAGATAAGTTGTGCAGACCTCGATTAATCCTAATATTTTGGAAAATTATAAGGAAATCCACAATAGTTTTGCAAAACTCGAACCAATAATCTGTAAAGAGCCCAAAAATGTGAGCCTTATTGTCGGTTAAACTTTGTATTATGTTGTAAAGAAGAGGAATAGCTCAAGACCAACGGTTGTGTTATTTCTTATTATTAATATTTAAATAAAAGCAAACTACATCAAAATAAAACGTACTGTACTTTAGTTTCAATTTTAGAGAACCTAATTTAAAAAATCTTAACGTTTATAACAAAACATGAGAAAAAAATTCAATATTTATTTTTTTTCCAAAAAAGACTTGTTAACAATGTTCTGATTCATTATTCTTTAAGTTAAAATATTTTTCTTTAATTGTATTGAAAAAAAAAATACCAGTTTGTTTCCTTAGTTACTTCAAAGATATAGTAAAATTCTCAAAATGAAACTTAATCCAAATGAAATGCGTCCAGTTTTATACAATTTGTCTTTTGAATAAAAGAAGGGAAGAATATGTTTGATTTCATAAATAATTTATCTTTTGAATAAAAGAAAGGAAGAATATGTTTGATGTAAAATTTATGAAGGAATTGAAATGTTGAATTTTATTGATCAAATTTTGTTTCATTGTTTGGTTCCTTTTTTTTACGAAAGTAATTTTCAAAATCCTACAAATTCCACAAATAAAGAAATTTTATATTCCTTAACAACTACATGATATTTTGATGAAATGAAATTCTCTATTTTCATAACACCAAATATGCCCTTAACTCAATATATCTTAATCTTATAAAACACAATAAGACCCTCGTCGACCACATCCGACCACCATTCATTTGAACCATAGTTGACCACAACCAATTTGAATCACTGCCGACCACCGGTGACCATCACCGATCTGAACCACCGTCGTGGACCACCGTCATCTGAACCACCGTAGACCACCATCGATTTAAACCATCACCGACCACCAGCGACTACCACCAATCTGAACCACTGTCGACCACCACCAATTTGAACCCTGTCGATCTAAACCACCGTGGTTTAACGCATTCCATATAAGAACATTTTACAAACTAAATGCCACCTTATGGTTTGAGTTTGCCTACATGTGTTATCTTGAATATGATGTAAATTAAAATTCATCTTTTCAAAACTCAAGTTGTTTCAAGAAGTCATGCAGAACCATTCCTACACCATTACAAAGGTTTGAGATAACAAATTAATTTCAAACCAAGATCCTCTTTGTTAGTAGCTTAATAGGACTCGTAACTCATTCAATCAATTATATATGACTGTTTGGTAGTGACTTAATGATATAGAAAGTGACCTATTCTGCAAACTTCTAAATGAAAATTTTATACAAAAAACCAAGTTTTTTCCAAACATATATTTCCCGATCAAAAAAACACGCTCATTCTATATATGAATCAAACAAAAACCTTCTCAATCTATACAGACAGATTAATCCACATAAACAGCTTAGTCCATTTAGGACTTGATGGAAAATCAATCAGACTAACCCTAAACGTTAGAGCCAAAAATGTCCACAAAAATTTGAAACTTCAGCATTTTAGAATACTCTTACGATTCATATATAGCCTAAACTTTGTAGAGGAAGATAAAATGTTTTTAGGACTAAAATATTACTCTACAAAAACGGTCATGTAATATTAAATGAATACAAAGCGTCGCCTCATTGAATCATGAGGAGTCTAGATGCATCGGGATTGTTTCGTATTTGTCTCGGGTAATATTATTTTTGTTCAAATCAAGTTGTTTCCTTTACTCATCCTAACCCAGACCAAACGAAGTACTTTGCCTTCCAAATCTAACTCTTCAAGAAAGAAAGAAGGCAACCCTATTAATGTTATTTTTCACTCTTTGACATACAACCCAAAATTTATCCAACGGGGTTCTTGCTTTTCTGATATATGGGTTTAATTTCATACTTTGAGTATGACATAACACAATAGTACAATTTATGAAATGAGTGTATGCACCTTTGATAACATCCAAAGGTCACCAATTGCCTATGTTATTGCTCTTGGTATTATCCAAAAGGTCACAAATGGTCTACATTAGTACTATGTTCGTCATGTTTTGGAAGGGTGTAATACCGACAAATTGTGACTGCAAGAAATCAACCCCGATAAACATGGTGGTCACAGTTGTTGTTTATGCCTTCCACATCCCCCAGGGTCTCAACCACCATGCCACAACCCTTGTGTTTTATGTTTGTCATGTTACTGGTGATTTAGGGTCCGTTTACTAAACGCTTACCCGATAACATGGCAAGGACCGAGAATCTTATTTAGTAAAAGCGATGGCAAAGACCGAGAGTCTTACCCGATGAAAAGGAAAAAGATACCAAAAATGTTCTAAGCTTCCGAGAGAGGGATTAATATCATATGTAAAGTCAATTTTGGCTATGAAAAATGAATCATGTGACCTCAAAAATCACAATCAACATCTAATTATAGAACGAATACAGTACAACTTAGTAAAACAACACAAGAATAAATAACTAACTGCGCATGTGTCAAAATGAAGTCATGTACCTTAAATAAGGCATACAAACTAGTCTCTCTGAAGGTCGGTGTTTCAGTCTAGTCCGGTATGAAATGAACATGGGAAAGCCTTTCCACGCTGATTGATTCATATCTGGGGTTATAGAGACCACCCTGCATTCCAACAAGTTCAATATTAATAGTTGGCTAGGTGCTTGTAAACAAAACTGTGAAACTGTCTGATGGAAAGTATACAAACAACCATGCATGCCAACAAGTTCAATATTGTTTTGATAATGCGAAAGCAGATTAGCATCAGCATGCTCCTTGTGGGGATCCACTCCATTGGGCCATCCATTATAAGACTGTTTTGGATAATAGTTAGCATGCAATTGGAGCCAGCATTACTGAAATCAGATAACTATTGATAACCAAATCAAACGTACTCAGTATATCCCACTCAAAAGTAGAGTCGGAAGAGAGTAGGATGCACACGGATTTTTCATCTAGCCCTAGGAGTAGAGAGACAAATCAAATAGCTATTGATATGTACTGCACAAGTAATGACAACTAGAATAATTTGCTACCACTGACCTTTGGAGATAATATTACAAGTAATTACTAAAACACTGCCACGGGGTAAAAATATAGTCAATTTCTAGAAACATGTGATGTAATATACATTTTCTTTCCTAATAATCACTTGGTCTCTTACTCTCTCCTCAAAGAAGACAAAAATTATGGCAGCTTTGGTGGTAACACCAGTAGTAGCCATGGATTCTCTTTGCCACCAGACCATCCCATTCCTAATGTTGGTATTAGAGCTAGCTACCAAATGAGAAGGGTGATGCCCCACTGTTGTTACAGACAGTGCAAAATGATCACCAATGGAAAGTTCAAAGTATGTGCAATCCCCCAACTAGAAGTGTATTGCACAGGCTCGTGTGTTCAGTTACCTCGTTCCTCCATCTTACTCTCCGATGTGGAATGAAGGAGTAGCACAATGATCAATTGTTGGAAATATAATATGACAAAGTGCAACTAATAAAGTTGGATGATTAGTTGTGCACATTTGACTAATGTTGTATGGTTGTACCCCAGGCAACAATACAACTTGTTGAAGGTTTTACTGAGGCTACTTTTGCTAAATTTCCATGCCATTTTCAGACTGCATAGAACCAATTACGAAAATAAGCAAAAATACATTGTATGGCTGAACGTAATGAGGCACTGTGTGATACAATTTGATGATGAATTTCGTGTCATATAGGTTTGGCCATAAAAACTAATCATGAACGCGAACAAAAATAAATTGAAGACATATTTGATTACATGATTGCTGCTCAAATACGAATTACTTGCATGAATATATCCAAAAACAAATGTAAATAGTGGTAAAATACGGTAGTGTTGAACCAATTTAAATTGAATTGAACACAACACCTCCCTAAACGATCTGAAAAATGCATCCATATGAAAACCAGTAGAAAAGTAAACACCAGTACGAGAAATAAACGTATCAATTCTCGTCTGAGTCGGGTAGGATGGAGGATAATATCCCTGGCACAATCAATCCAACACACAAACATAAAATCAATCCAGATAACAACTCAATAATCACCTGCACATTACACAAAACTCTAGATCCATAAATTTCGTGGAAACTTATACGTAAGTCGTCGGAGAGATATTACGTCAAAAGTCGGTGGAGAAAACTCATCCTCTGTGACATTCAGCGAAACCCTATCTGAAATTATAGAAGATTTAAGTTATAAATTTCGGTGTATACATTATACTAATGGCAATTGTAATGAGTGAGATTTACATCGAATAGCAGAGTAGACGCGTGAAAGAGGACGCGAATTCGGTCACCCCGATAACCCATTTTAGCCATCGCCAGCAATGGCGATTCTTCTGAACGAACGCTCTCTCCTTCGCTAAAAAGTGAAATTTGCAAGAAATAATAGGGTTAAATGCATCAAATAGCAATCTATTTTTATAAATAATTTGATAACTAAAATTTTAAAATATAATAAGCAGATAGGTGATATAAACCAAAACTGGAGTCACAAAATTTAAATGTATATCACCACAAACGATGTATTCATGCATTTACCCGAAAGAAAAATATCTATTAATTTTTTTTATTCAATATTTATTAAAAACTTACTTTTGATAGCTAACTTGTTTATCTTTTTTAACTTATGATGAATTATAAATATAACTTCAATAGCTTTCATTTTGAAAAAACTTCTTTCAAATATATTTTAGTCCTATGCATACCAAGGCTCCAAAATTGTAACTGAACCACACTGTGTTTACAATTCTAAGACTGCAGTTTCCTCTTTAAGAATTTAAAGCCGACCTGCCAAGAGAGCAAAGTAAAGTTTGCAAATCAAAATCAAAGGAAACAATTACAAACTAAAAAACCAACAAAAACTAAACTATGCAAACAACAATGTTTATTATATGTGCAAACTACATGAAGTACGTATAACAAATCAACAATATGTTACTGTGAAACAATAAGTTATAAATTGTTTCAATAACCGAAACAAAATAGATTATGAACGTTTGATGATGAACATATAGAATAGTCAAGGGCGGCGTGAAGCAGGGGGCAACAAGCGTCTTCTCCTTGCTTCATGATCGTTATTTCCAGCTCGAAATGGAATGTCGCTTAGAAAAATGAAACAGTTAAACGATAAGAGATCAGGAAAAAAAAAGGAATCAACTAGGTTGTTGGCGTTGTTTGATGATCATATAACGTATTCAAGCCACTTTTCTCTAATTAAATTAGCCACTAAATTGATGCATTGAGAGGCTTTAGTTTGGGCATATTGTTTATAGCACCGATGATGATTAAACCAAAGCTAATAACACAAAAAAAACTTGATGCCCTTTGGGCTTGTGCTGTCCTTTGCAGTCACACAAGTTGTACATGGCTAGGGCTGGGTCTGTCAATATTTTAATAGGTTGTCATCATAGCCAAGTCATTGAAGGATCCGTACTTCGTATACCTAGAAAAGGAAGCCTCCAATGAAATGGAAACCAATGCTTGACTAACATAATGATGGATTTACAAAGAAAATAAAAACAAGGTGTTTAGTTGGCTTTTGTAGAACCGTAAAATACTAACAATGAGAGATAGCTTGACTGATAAGACTTTAGATTTATTCAAGTTAATTTGTTTATCGTTCCAAACACCTTTAATTTTATATTGTAAAGTATTTGACAAGAACTCTTAAAAACCATTTATTATGCATGAAGTACTGTGTATTAATGCATATTACTTAAATTTTAAGATTACAAGTAAATTGTGCGTAAGTACAATTTATTAAAGCTTCATGTTTGAATTCGTATAACTAATTGCAGATAAACATAATCAAATACAAGATAAACATCTTATTTTGAATATAAAAAATCTAAAATATAATTAGGATACCCAATGAATTCTAAGAGAATCATCATCTTTATAAAATTTCATTGTTAAGTCAAAAATAAATTACTTCACTAAATCGTAAAAACATTATATTTCTCAAAACTACATAAATCATATTATATCAACAGAGACAAAAAATAAAAACGAAACATTAAAATGAAGATGTATCTCATTACATTGTGCAATTACTCTTCTAAATACATATAAACCCAATATATCCACTTATTAAATTAAGGGCAAAATGCACAAAATAGCAATCTACTTTCATAATTTTTTTTATTATAACATTGTACTTTCAGTTTTTCTTATTACAACAATGTACTTTCAAACTATTTTTTATTAAGACATTGTATTTTGAAAAATTTACTCATTATAGCATTGGGTAACCTTTTGATTTAAATTTACCCATTATACTAGGTTTTCATGACACCTCATTGTCCACATAGGCTGTCCACATGTACTATAGTGATGTGACTTTCTTACTACATCATTGTACTTTCAAAATTATTTTATTATAACATCTACTAGTTCTTATTAAACACTGTATTTTTACTTTTAATATTTAGATATTTTACATGTTATTTAATAAATATATTAAATGAATTAAAAAAATTCTAAATTATTCATTAATATACCAATATCAATAAAAACTAGTAAACACAACTTATCTCGCTAACATTTTTAAAAAATATGCATTTTTTGAAAAAAAGAAAATAACAATTGTTCATTTTTTACCAAAAAATATTATATTTTAAAGAATATATTATATTTGTTCAAAAACTTTTTACTTGACGTATGAATATATTAAATTAATTAGACTTTTTTGAATTATTTATTAATATAACAATATTAAAAAATTGTAGATAACAATTTATTTCGTTAATATTTTAAAGAGAACTTTAAAAGATATGTATTTATTTGAACAACATAAAATAGGAAAAATTACCTTTTTTACAAACAAAATATATCTCGAAAATAATGTTTCATATTTATTTATTAAATATTTTACTCCAAGAATATTTAATTTGAATGCAACTTAATAAGAAAAAGTAAAAAAAATTAATTTTTTTTAGATCATAACAATGAAAAATGAAAATCACTACTAATAATTTGAAATAGATTTTAATTTTAATTTTAGTTAAGTCATCAAAATGATGTGGCATCTACATCACCTCATTAAAGCCACACAAGCAAAAAAGTCAAAGAGTTAACCGGTTTAAAAGGTAACAAGTTACCCATTGCTATTATGGGTAGATTTTTTAAAGTACAATGCCTTAATAAAAAATAATTTGAAAATACATTGCTGTAATAAAGAAAAACAAAAATAAAATGCTATAATAAAAAAATTTATGAAAATAGGTTACTATTTCATGCATTTAACCCTTAAATTAACATCTAAGATACTTTAGGGAAGTTGATTCAATCTGTACAAAAATTACAATTGATTTGATTATATTTTAATTAAAATACAAAAAGAATATATTTTGACATATTTTCCGTTTTCTTCCTCGCTCTCTTGTTATCTTCCGCTTCTCCCGGTGTCCATATTTTCTTTCACTATTGACGAGCCACAGCCATAGCCACAAAGCTTAATTCGCAGAATTTTGGCAAAGTATGAGCCGAATTCTTGATATGCACCATTGTCGTCCGACTCCTTCATTGATGTTCTTCACATGTAAATCACAGGATTCTAGTGGCAATTATGTTAAATTGAAGAAGAAAGGAACCGTAACATCTTCAATACAAGGTTATACTTTCACATTCCGTCATCCCGAATTTTCAATTTCGTTTTCAATTTCATTGTATTTTTTGTAATTAAAACGTATTTTCTCATTATATTTTGAAAATCGAGTTTCAGCAAATAGTTCAGAGGTGGGGTTGGGTCATAGAACTGATAGAGGTTCACTTTCACATAAGGTAAATTCCATTTCATGCTGCTTAAAATGTTATTATTGCTCCTCTGTTGAAAGAGTTACAGTTTTACTTTTGATGTCAAGTGTAGGGTTTTCTTCAAATATGGGGTTTGTTGCTAATATAATACTACGGTTTCTTTTTCTTTTTGGTAACTGTGGTTTACGGGCCGTCGTACGACTAATCCCCAGGGGCGACCACGAATGGCCTGTGGTCCGAATCTCCATGTCCACGAGGCTTTGGGAGTGCCTATTAAACTCGAAGAAGATGAGATTTCTACTATCTCCCCTGAATATTAAACTGGTGTACAGACAACCCAAATGGTTGAAATGGTAGATTTTTCTCGAAAAGATTAAAGTTAGTAAGTTGAAAGTAAATCCTCTTGACATTAACGTCAAAGTTTACCCCTCTTCTTGGATGGAGAAAGCCAATAATTTGTAAGCAATAATATCGGGAAATTGATCAAACTAGCCATTTTGGATAGCATTCTTTCACTCTTTGGCCAACCTTTTCTTTGATTTGACCAAAATAGCCAAGATTTCATAAGTGCACATCTTGCAACTTGCGAAATATACTTTTTATGAATCAGATGTAATTCTGGTTTTTGGCTCGCGAAATCTCTACAGCTGCTTGCAAAATGTGGCCCACCAAAATCATATTTTATTCATAAAAAGTACATTTTACAACTTGCAGAAATCTTGGCTGTTTTCGTTCAAACATGAAAAAGTTGGTTAAAAAGTGAATTTGTTCGTCCAATATGTTAGTGCAAAATGGCTAGTTTGGTCAATTTCCCAATAATATCTTATCCAAAGCAAATGCAACAGTTTCCTTCATGGTTCTCAGGAATTCAGTGAAACCTTTCCCTTTTTGGCTAGTTTTTTGGCTCAACTTAAATCTTTGCCTTCTAATAGTTTTTATTGAATGTTGACAACATTTATTTTGGACTTTAGTGCACTGGATCCTCCTATACCTTTGACCGTTATTTTAGATATTTAACTAATGATATTTTATGGTTATCAACATTTCCAATCATTGTACTTGGCACTTCAACGGAAACCAGCCATCCTACATGCAAGAAAAAATGGAACGGAACCGCGGTGTATTGCTAGAAAGTTAATTTTGGATGATCTCTTAGTTGCTAATGTGGCAAAAAGATGTGCGAATGCCATTTCTTTGCTGCAAACGAACCAATCTCCTTGCAAAAATTAAAAAAGGTTCTACTTCACTAGAATGATTTTTCTTTCCCCTTGGGTGCCTATTTTGTAGCAGAAGAATATCAATCTTTTGCTCTGTGTTATGGTCATTCATTGATATATCGCAATTTGGCAGCCAAATGTATATGTTCCTGGATCTTGTCAACCCTAAGACTCGACTATTTGCACTGCTTTTTCTCACAATTTTTTGCTTTCATCTGGATCTAACCACTATAACAGCAAAAGTTCATACTTAATGACGGATTATTAGATGTGTTTTTCAACTCAAAATTGATCTTTTCAGGTCAAAGAAGATGATGTGAAGGCATTTGATGCACTTCCTCATGTGAGATATCTTAGTGAGTTTCAAAAGGATGAACTTATGGGAAAAGTAGTCATGGTCAGGTTCGATTCTAATGTCTTACTTGGAGAAAAGCAGGACCAACAGGCCAAAGTATTCATTAGCGCTCTTTCGACCATCAAGTACTTGCATGAAGCTGGTGCAAAGGTGATTCTAATGAGTAGTTGGTCTGTTAAAACCAATTCAAAGCTTCTTTCAGCAGAATCTGTTTCAGGTATGCCATAACTTCTAGGGGAGGGAATTAGCTAGATATATCTTGTCTTGCCGTTTTTCTTTGTATTTTGTAATATCTTTTGATGAACAACAAGCTAACATGTCTTTCATTTTGTCATTCCTATTCAAATACTCCTTTTAGGTCAAATAATTTCTAGCATTTCTGCTCCATGTCTTAATAAGTTACACATGTGGGTAGGTTTTATTCCAGATTCACACGTCAAAAGGTTTAGATGCTGTTTGTGAAGACCATTTAACTTTTTCAGTTTGTCTTACAAATAGAAGAATGAAAATGCGACTATGAGTCACATTTACATGATATAAGAATGAAAACAGGACCCACAAAATGAAGAACCATGTTGAATTGTGTAAATGAATAGCACCTTATTGGTTCATACACAAAATAAATTCGCATTTATAAACTTTTGGTAGTGCCAAAGGCTGTGTATTTATGCGCTAATGGATGCGGATGAAAACTTGGCTGTTGAAAATTGTGTATGACCTTCGTTTAGTTTTACAGAATGTCTAAAGAAGATAATTGTGTCTATGTTTCAGCATATCTGTCTTCCATTCTCAAACTAAGAGCTATACCGATGAAGTCTTTTCCTGGATATGAGCAGCCTACGATGGAAGACTCCCTGAAACCAAGTATTTATCTTCTAAAAAATCTTTCTCAATTCAAGGAGGATCTAGCAAATAATTCAAGATTTTCTGAAGAGTTATGCTCAGGGGTTGATATCTTTGTAAATGATGCATTTTTCCAGTCACATAAGGTTCTTGCCTCAACTGTTGGTGTGACATCTTTCTGTTATACCTCTGTTGCTGGTTTCCAGTTTGAGGAGGGTCTAATACAACTCGAGAAGGCATTTGTGACAAAAAGGAGTCCATATATTGCTATGGTACTCTTTTTAAACACTTGAGCCATCAAATTTGAATTTGATAATCTCTTTTTGGTGTCTTATAAGGTTAAAGAACCATAAGACTAGGGCTTTTCATATCGGACTCTTTCAGTGCAGGTTGGGGGAGGTAACCTTGTAGAAAAATCAGCTGCCGTGCACTATTTAGTTTCTAGCTGTGATGGGTTGGTGTTTGTTGGAAATATGTCATTTCAAATAATGCATGCTCTTGGATTACCAGTACCTAAAAAGTTGGTGGAGGTTGGAGCATTTAATGAAGCTATTAGGATAATACGAATTGCAAATTCTAGGAACATTCCCATCTTGTTTCCAAAAGATTTTTGGTGCCTAAATGATCATCTTAAGAAGCCGCAGCTCGTTCCTACTCATTGCCTTTTTGAAGGTAAGATTTTGACAGTTCATGTAATCTCGCTTCTGTATCATTTGTACTGAGAAGTTTTAAGTCAACCTCAATTTTTGACTAGTTAAGGATTTTTCTACTGGTTTTCTTGAGAACCCGTTATCATTTTGTTGCATATTTCACTCTAAAGGGTGTTTACTAATGTTGCAATGTTTAATTCTCTTAGGTTGGTCACCTGTTGGTCTTGGGCCAAATTCATTGGAAGAAATAACCGCCTTGCTTTCGAAGTCTAAGGTAATGCATTCAAATTCTGAAGTCTAGTGGATAAAAACTAATACTCCCTGTGTCCAATCAAAATTGCAACATTTGACTTGGGAGATAGTTCTAGGGAAGTGTTAAACTGTTTGGCAAATATCTAAAACACCCTTTCTTAAAGACGAAACAAAGAAACTTTATGGATCTAAATCACTACCAATTTATTTCTAATGGTGATAACAGACAAATTAGAAAATTTTGGCTTTAACTTTTTAAGAAAAGGGATTTTTTTAATTTTGTGGGATCGAGGGAGTAAATGACTAATGCACGCTTTATCCTTTTCTCTTTACCTCACAAACAGAAACACTTTTTGGTGTCCCAATATTTGCATAACTACTGTAGTTTGACTCCATATGCTATATCAATCTCTTCTAAATCTATTTACTTGCAATATATTGCAGAAAATTGTGTGGATCGGTCCAGTTAAGTTTGGCTTGTCAATTCAAGATAGTTATGGGACCTCAATATTGGCAAAACTATTTGGAAAACTAAGTCAAGGAAACTGTGATGTTACGGTTGTTGGTAATATGGCATGCAAAGCTTTAATGGAGGAAACATCGGTTTCATCAGGCTGCAACGTCATTGAAAATGCTTCGATTGTATGGGAGTTTCTTAAGGGAAGAAATCTTCCTGGGCTTATGGCCTTGGATAGAGTATGGTTTGCTTCTTGCTCCTCTAGTCGTTTAATCTCTCTCACATGCTTCATCATGCTTGGACTCATCATCTCATAAGTCTCATATGTCATTTCAAAGACTATTCGTCTAGATACTCCTTTTTTAGATCCTCATAGAAGTTCAGTTCCAAATATAGAGAGAGATACAATGACTTTGTCATCAAAATGGTTCTTTTCCAATCCTTTTCTCCCTTTATCGTTTGCAAGATTAAAGACTTTGTTATTGAGGCTTAGCGCACACACACACACACACATATACACACACGCACACATACCATTGTGATTAAAGACTTTGTTATTGAGGCTTAGCGCACACACACACACACACATATACACACACGCACACATACCATTGTGATTAAAGACTTTGTTATTGAAGCTACTTACAGATAGTAAGCTTCTGTTACATTTGTGATTTTGGAGGTCAATTACACATGTCAGAGTGATATTTGAGCCTGATTTATATCTTTGTACCAAACAATCACCAACAATTGTGCTGTCTTGTATGTGACGACATATAATATATATATACACACACACACCCCTTTGTGATTTTGTGATTAAAGACTTTGTTATTGAAGCTACTTACAGATAATAAGCTTCTGTTATATATGTGGATTTGGAGGTCGATTACACATGTCAGAGTGATATTTGAGCCTGATATATATCTTTGTACCAAACAATCACTAACAATTGTGCTGTCTTGCATGTGACGACATATAATATATATATATATATATATCCTTACTGACCATAATGTTTGATTGTGTTATTGAGTGCAGGGATACCCGTATAGCATTGATTGGCATGCAATTTTTGATGATCCAGCTCGACCTTTGCTAGTTGATATTGGAAGCGGTATTGGCTTTTCTGTTGACCTCCTACCAATTTGCTTGATACTTAAATGTTTTCATTTCCATATCTGCAAGTTAAGATATTTAAGGAAGTCAGTTGCAGTTTGGTTGTAACGGAATTAAGTAATTTTTTTAAACCATCGTACTTGGCTTTTTGTTGCATGCAAACCATCTTTCTTGCTAAAATGCAAAGAAAAGACTCTCCTTTGCAAGAATGGTTGTTTTTTTATTTGCATCTTCGTTTACCAAATAATCACTCATTCTTAAAAAATGTAGTGTTCTTTTTGCATTTCTGAAAGAATCAAGGTTTTCTTGCAACAAAAGAGTCAAATATGATGGTTAAAAGTTTCAATCACTCTATTCGAAATTAAGGATCGCAGGTAATGGATTGTTTCTCTTCGGAATGGTGAGAAAGATGAAGGACATGAATTTTCTTGGACTGGAGATGAACGGGAAGGTTTTCTCCTTTTTGTTGTTGAATTTTCTACTACTTTCATCTTCCAAGTGCTGAATGGTTTGCTTTTCTGTGTCTTGAAACTTTGCAGCTCGTAAAGCGTTGCCTGGAAACTGTTCGTCAATCGGGCTTAAAGAACGGGTACAAGTTCTATTTACATCTTATAATTAATGAAATTTAATGCATTTAAGATAACTTCATTATGTTCAGGATGGTCATTAGATTCCTTCTATATTTAAAGTGGACTATCTTTCTTGAGATGAATGGTGTATTTGTGTTGCTGCTTTAGATAATTAAATATTATGTTCATTTGGTTTGACGGTTGCCCGTGTTTTGAATAACCAACTTCCAGATACTTCATTGAAACAAATGCAACGTCAACATTTCGCTCAATTGTTTCGGGTTATCCTGGTGAACTAGTTCTTGCATCAATACAGGTAATTTCTATTACACTTCTAGTGTGAAGTTTCTTAACATAAATGGCTTCAACAAATTTGACAAGTGTGTTCATTAGTTGAGGATTTGAATTATGTGATTGATGGATGCATGTCAAATTGTTGAGTTGTTTGTACAGAAAAAGCTTTATCCTGTCTAGAAAATGGTATGTATATATGTGTGTATATATATATTCATACACACCTACAGATACACACAACAGATGCACACATACAAACACACATGCACACACTTGTATGTGTGTGTGTATATATATATATATTTGTATGTATGTGTGTGGGTGTATATATTACATGTCTGCATCTGTATCCATTAGGCTGTCCATATGTGTATCGAAGTATATACATATGAATCTATATACCTATGTATGCATGATATTTCCATATATGTATCCCTACACAACCATATACACACATACATACTAATGTATATTTATGCACACACACACAATGTAAGATCTATTTGTTTTTCCTTGTGGTCACTTTTGAGGAACTGAAGTAAAGATCTATTTGTATGCAGTGTCCAAACCCCGACTTTAATAGACCAGAACATAGGTGGAAAATGGTGCAGCGTTCGCTCATTGAAGCCATTAGGGATCTGCTTTCCCTGGATGGGAAGGTAATGTTTCATTAACAAATGATGTTATATGGGACTAAAACATCCTTTTTAGTTTCGGTACAAAATCTGCTTAATTTGTAGCTACATGGGTTTTCTTCTTTTTAAGTTTTCTGGTAATACATGAAAGATGAACTTCTGGTCTTATAAGTTGATTTGTGTGTTCTTGAAAACCACCAGGTGTTTCTTCAATCTGATATAGAAGCTGTTGCATTGAGGATGAAACAACAATTTCTGAAATACGGCAATGGGAAGTTCACCATCGATCACCAAGAAGAATGGTTAAAAGAAAACCCATTTGGAGTTGAGTCCGATTGGGAACAACACGTTCTGCATCGTGGGCTTCCAATGTACAGATTGATGCTCTCCAAATCATTAAGATAACAACGATTCATGCGATACATTTGCATGTTTCTGTAAAACAATCAAATTTACGGTGATTCCAGTTATTCAGATTCCAACACTATGCAGCTTAAAAAAAGATTTGGAGCTTCGAGGAGAGATCCTGAGAATGAAGAGAGTATTGACAACATAATGTGAACGAAGAGTAGAAAATGGAGTTCAGAATCGATAGAAGTATCGAGGTTCATCAAATGCATATACTCACTAGAGCCCAGTCGTGTTACAAATATAAACCAAGTCAAACAAACTCAGGGAATCACTTACAGGGTTGGGTCCGGAAAGGATAAAATGTATACTGACATTACTTTTATTCTAAAGAATATGTTGGGGTAGATGAATAATAGGGTGGTTTTCTGAAATCACAATTGCTTGAGTTCTTGCTTGGATCGTGTATATCACTTTCCGAATTAGATATTTCGATCCTATAGCCTTGAGTTGCACGAAATTTTGAATATAGGATAATCCAAGAAGGAACAATCTAATTTCTTAGGCACAAAAATTAGATTATGTTACTGTTGTTTTTAATATATCAATCCTCAGATTCGAGAGCCAAAAACGAGGGTAATTTCATAAATTGGATAAGACCAAACAGTTATGGAAGGTTAACAACAGTTAAGAACCAAAAACATTCATTAGGAACTAACCATGTGTCAAGAACCAAACAAATCAGTTGCCCTTTGGACTCCGCAAGGGGCACAACCCTCTTGACCCTAGCCTTTTGGTCATATCGGGATCAATCTAGTCTTACACAAGTGTGCATTTCGCACCTCCTAACTAAATGAAACCGGTGACGCTAAAATCACCAATAGAATAAAGAAGTTGTTTCCGTAAAGACACTAATAAATATATTGAATTATTGATATCTAAATCTTTTGTTCTGATTTCTATATAAACTTGATACCATCAAACTCATTATCTAATAATATTTAAGGTTGTGTTTGGTTGAAGTATGTTACAATGTTATATAACATATTACTAAGTAGGTATTAATCTTTGAACCAATTTATCTATATACATTGTTTCAATTAACGACAAGTTATTATCATTATTTTTTTTTATTAGGATCACATCTAAATCGCTGTCATAGTTATCATTTACGATATAAACCATACATAACAAAAAAAAAAAAAAAAACTCAACTATTTCCAAACATATAAAATACATACCAAGTTCTTGTATGGTACTGATAGGTTAGACATATTATCACCGGGTTATTTGATCTAACCTTTTTTAGGTTCATTTTGTTACATCAAAGTATTTCAATGTTATTGAAAGTGAATGCAATATTTAGTATATAGTTGAAGGTTTAAATAAAATTGTTAAATATTATTAAAAATAAAATAAACGATTAAAAAATTGATATATGAATTATTAAAAAAGTTGATTTCCTTATAAATAATTTATGTCAAATCTGCGTATCTAACCAGATTTTTTTGAACTTTTTTAATAGTTGACATCCTAACGTTCTATTCTTAGTTTCGAACAATATTTAATTAAAAAAACAGACAATCCACCGGCGAATTGTAAAGTAAAACTCTTCTTACCCGCGGTTCAAGTTGTTGGGTCGGTTCGAACACCACCGTCGTCGCTGTATTTCTCTCCGGTAAGTAACTTTTTGCTCTTGTGGAATGCAGTGTTTTTATAATTTTTTGGGGTGGAAATTTATGATAGATTAGGCTTGATTTTGAAATGAATTTCTGTATTTACGGTGTTATTCGATTTTAGTCAAATTCTTGATTAGCTAAATAGGTGAAGAGTTGATCTCAATTGTTTTTGTTTAGATTCTGGTACTCTAGGGCTTTATATTTGATGAAATTTCCAATTATCAAATTGCTATATGTAGGCAATGACAGCATAATATCAAGTGGTTCAAGTTGATTCTTCTAAAGAGTATACCTATAATATATATATATATATATATATATATATTCGAAGGTTATTTTGAGAAGCGGTAAATATTCGAGGAAAGTGAACTTAGGTCAATAATTGCAGCTTTGACCGGTTAATAATTACTCGTCAAAAATTACAAATATGCAAAAAATAGAGATGGTAGTTTTGTAACTGTTACAAATAGGCGGCAAACGAGTTTATATATGAACTGTATATTCATATATGAATTCGTGTAATTCACATATAAACTATTTTAATTGATTCACATATGAATCCTTGTGGTTCATATATGAACTAATTAACTGATTCACATATGAACCCGTGTGATTCACACATAAACTAATTAACTGATTCGTATATGAACCTGTGGGTTTATATATGAATCAATTAAAAAGTTCACATGTGAACTAATTAACGTCAGATATGAACATATAGTTCATATGTGTATCACATGGGTTCACATATGAATCTGTTTGTCACCTATTTGTAAAAGTTACGGAACTACCCTTTTATCTTCCGCATACCCATGTGAGAAATTATCCGGTGCTTCATGGTCAAAGCCGCAAATGTTGACCAGATGAAGGGCTAGGATCATTTATTTACTTCTCAAATATTATCATTTCTCAAATGAACCTTTCCTTATACATATGTCTCTCTCTCTCTCTCTCTCTATATATATATATATATGTGTGTGTGTGTGTGTGTGTGAAAAGGTTCAAACGAGAAACCTCGAGTGTTATGAAAATGCGAGAACACTTATGTTATATTAGATTAATCTTTATCCCTTAAATGTTACTAGTAGACTTCTTATGTCGATAATGATGTGATAATGTTGTGATAATGATATGATTTTGCAGTAATAATAATAATGTGATAATGCTTTGACAAATTGAAGATTTTTATGATGTGATTTTGTTGTAATAAGGATATGATAATTATGTGATTTTGTTATGATAATGATGTGATAATCGAAAACCAGTGATGATTATGTCTAAAATCATCGCTCTGTCTGTGATAATGATTTGATATATTGTGACTGGTGAGTATATTATCTGTGTGTGATTTTTTAGGAATAAGGAAGTCATCAAGGTTACAGATAAATGCGAAATCACATGATTATACTTAATTATTTACTTTATTTTCTTTTAATTTTAGTTATGGGTTAAATAATTTGGAGGCCTATAAATGTTCTCGCACTTTCGTAAAACAGGGTGTTCTCGTTTGAACCTCCGGGTATATACATGTGTGTGTATATATATATGTGTAATTTCTGTTATATGAGATAAAATGTGGGTGGAAAATTGGGGACTGTGTATTCATTTTTTTCCGTTTTTGATTATATTTTGTGATCCTAAAAGTACTTTTGCTTCTAGATTGGTATATTTTTTCCAAAATGTTTTCATGGTGTTGTTAGTATTTAATAAGAACTTGACGCAACTTGCATTACTATCCAGAACTTAAATTTCTTGATCACAAGGACAATGACAAATAATTTTCAGCTGATGATGTTTTGGGCACTTATAGCATATAGGCATCCCAAACTTTGAAATTATTATGCACAAAAGCGGTCATGTAATGTATAGTTTAATGGCTAAATGTTTTGTGGTTTATAAGAGCCACATGAAATGTAGGAAACACTTGCACTTTAAGAGCTTGCTCTGCATGGTAAAGTAACATGTTTGGCACTTGGTAGAAACAAATCATAATATATTAACATTATATTGCGTGTCATGCTTGATTCTCGACTTGTCACACTGTCAAAACTCAAAACTTCTTGAGAGATCTAGTGGTTGGTTACTTGTTAGTATTGGTGCCACTTAGATGCATAAGCACATGAGTTCTCGTAGGGTGCTAGATTTGTGAGAATGCTTACCATGATCTCATTAGTTAATCCCTAGCAATACTTTCATCTTTAGATGCTAAGCTATTTGTATTTTGTTTGAATCAGATATTTCATCTGTATTCGAACTAACTTGGACACTGAAGGAAGTGGATCATGAGATTTAATGGGAAGAAGGTCATGAAAGTCCCAGCATTCTCTTGGCATCCTTACATGAAAATGGAATCACAAGTCTTACCATGAGATGTCCGGCCTACCTGAGAATGTATTTATTAAGGATGTTATCACATCTGAAACACATCATGTTACATCTAATCAGCCAGGTACTTATTGGAAAATTTAGTAGTTAGGTTATGTTATCAAGCTGGTTTAACGTGGTGTTCTCATCATTGTTAGCTAGTTATTTCTGTAACTTATAGTTAGTAAGGAGCTTGGTACTAATTTTATAGGGTTTTTAATTAATCCAGCAACAAAACAAACCCGGCAATGGGCTGCTTGGACACGTCAGGAAGAGGAAAGCTTCTTTAATGCTCTCCATCATGTTGGCAAGGCAAGTTTCCTTGGGATGTATTTGTTGTCTGACTTCCTCAATTTAGTGTTTATCTTAACCGTTTATATCTTATTGAGAGGGTGAAAAACTAAACATTATGAAATTAGTATATGTCATTGCAGAATTTTGAGAAGATCACTTCTTGTGTTCAGAGTAAAAACAAGGACCAGGTAATTTCGTAGAACTTCTGATTGCTGTTTATCACCTTGTTATTGACCGGTCTTTCCTGAACCAAGGTTTATAACTTATTTGCTTCTTGCTTTCTTTTTCGCCCTTTGAAGTTCATTTTACTGGTCTATTGCAGGTTAGACACTATCACTATCGTCTTGTCAGGCCTGTGAACAAGTTGCTGGACCCTGAACTTTCTCTGGATGCCAAAAACTCCAAAGATACCAATGCTGTCATGCTTCGATGGTAAGCAGCTATCTCTGCCTTCTATATGATGATCTCTTCTTATGGGTCCCTTTTTAATAGAATACTCCGTAGTCCATATGTGTATAGGCAAAACACAATGTTCCAATGAGTAAGAATTTTAACACCAAGTCCCCTTTTGCTCTTTCGGAAGACAATTGTCTTTCCACAATACCTTTGTATGCTCACGGTTAGGAGCACCCTAAGACCATAGAAACCTTCTAATTAGCTTCTTGATGTCTGATATGGTACTAGCCAGTACACTGAAAACATATGCCCACTAAATATGCATCGAAGAAAGGACAGAAATTACAAAATGTAAGTTAAGAATTTATGTATCATTTACTTTCCAGGGTTCCCTAGTCC